ACCCCCCCTGCCATGTTTCCCGGGCACCACTGCCCCTCCTGCAGGCCCAGGACTGGCATCACGGGTGTCGTCTGGTAGAGGGGAGAGGGACCGATGTTTGCTGGTCTTCCCGCTGAATGGAGCCGGAAGCGACTCTGATTGCATCACTTCCAGCTCTTCAGCTGTCATTCTCCAGCTAGAGAAGCCGGGGAAGAAGCTATTCAAGCCTGAGCTGCACTTCAATGGTTTCTTTATAATGGAAAGATGACACTAGGAGTCTATTAGACCTCTTTAGGGTGACATTAGAGAACCTGTTACCACTAATAAGCTATCACATAGAGGGCTTGTGAGCAGGGCCGCATTTCCCACAAGGCCCACCAAGGCCCGGCCTCGGGGCGGCAGGGAGTAGAGGGGCAGCAGGGGTGTGGAATTCCTATCTCCCGATGCCTGGGACATGCAGTTCCGGGTGCCGGGTGGGTAGTTGTTTTCTACACTTAGCCCTGCATTGGGCAAGAAGAACTAAATGTACATAGGGGAAGCTGTTGCTTGTTTTATACAAGCGATGACGTCCTTGGGGCAGCAGGGAGAGTAAATCCGGCCCTGCTTGTGAGCCAACCTGTGCAATAGCAATGCAGTAAAAAAAAAAAGTTACCGTGCACCACCAGCTCCCCCTTCTTCCGGTGACGTGCTCCGCCGGCACTCCCCTTCACCCATACACCCCCTAAAACCAACACCCCCCCTGAATTATGTGTACCACCAGCAGCCTCTCCCTACCTCAGATGGCAAAAGTCTAGGGACCACCCCTGGTCTTCAATGTCCATAAATTAATTCCCATTGACCTAGCAGAAAGTCCCTCTATGAAGTACCTGATATCACGCTGGGAGATTTCGCTGTAAGGAAGGTTGAGTTTAACTATGTGATTGCTGACCAGATCTTCCACAGATGCCTTGAAGCCGAGCGTCTGCTGAAACCCCGGAGCCACCGTGTGCACAAAGGGCCGCATGTCGCTGGCCAGCCAAAAGACCTGCAAGAGATGGACAAGGGAAGGCACGGCCATGAGACAGTTGACATGTACACGGTCCCCACTTAACTATGCAAAAGGAAAATGACACCTTAGTGACCGGATCAGCTCCCCTCAGAAGCCTTTTATCATTCATTCCTTTATTTAAATACTTTTATCTCGGCTGGAGGTCTGCTGTACAAGTCTTTGGTTGTCTCCGTCTCTTCCATGCTATATGGTGGCTTGACAGTAAGAAAAGAGACATCATTTTACTTTTTTTTCTGATGTGTTCCCTGCTGACTTATGTTTAAACTCATGTCTGCTTCTCATTGCTCCCCAAGTGACTGAAACATGATACTGTTGTAATATTCAGGGTGGATATGACCCGTAGCCAGCCGTATCAGCAAATAAACTTTTATTCTTCTCCACAAACATTCAAATAAAATGGCTTATATTCAGCAGAATGACAAAAATCAACAGGGCTTATTGTCAGCAAACACAACATTCGGCTCAGCCCCTGTATACTAAGTCCCAGCCTCAGGGTTAGAGTCCCAGCCTGCTCACCGAGAGTTCCAGTATGGACACAGGTGCCCCAGCAGTGTCTCGGTAGACTGTATCCCACAGCTTAACACACACAGCCATGTGTCCTGCTCCAAACACTCCTCACAGACACAGACTGACTGGGTTCCTGTTCCTTTTTAGCACACCCTCTGGCTGGTGGGTTAACCCTTTCATTACCAGAACCGGCTGTAGTCAGGGATGGAGGCTCTGTCCCACCCAAAAAGCTCTCTGAGCCTCCGGATTCCGAGACCCATGTATAATTAACAACTCTGGGAAGACTGCCTAGCAGTTTCGACCCGGAACCCCTCACCCTGCTTGTTGAGAACCCTGAATACAAGGTTCGTCCATCCAGGACCCATTCCTGGCGTCTTGTACACCGTCTAGATATCTGCTAATTAAACCTCCTATGCAACTTCAGAGCTGTGTCTTTTGTTGTTTTTCCAGCTTCACTCTCATTTCTGCATCTAGAAGGGCTGGCAGTCCCGCTCTGAGTTTGAATGGATAATCCAGCCAGGGTGCACTTTCGAAATGCCCTGTTTTTAGAGGAGAGGGGGTCGGGAGGGGAGCAAAAATGCACCTTGCCTGTGTAGGCAGGAAACCTAGCATCGGCTCTGCAGGGCACATGGAATAATGTGAACTAAATATCAAAATACAAGTTTTTTTTACCACCAGCCTTCCCCCACAAACACATATGCAGGTCCGTAGATACCTTCCACGAGGCTGTCTGCAGCCCAGCCGGTAAAAGCTGCCTGTACCTGTGCACTAACAGCCCATAGACCCGAATGGGATATACCCCTATAGCGAGAGCAATGTCCCATTCCAGTCTATGGAACATTAGTGCGCAGATGCAGTCACTTTAAGAAGGATAACGAACATTGATACTTTTTCTCAATACTATATGGCCAAGATTATATAGACACCTTTCTAAATGATTGAGTTCAGGGGTTTCTTTTGAAGGGTACTTTGAATGCTACAACATACAAAAACATTTTAAACACTTGAGCTCATTCAGTTTGTTGAAGGCCCTTTTCTGTTCCAGAATGACTGTGCCCCTGTGTACAAAGCCAGCTCCATAAAGACATGATTTGATGGGTTTGATGTGGAGGAACTTGACTGGCCTGACCAGAGCCCTGTCCTCCGCTCTACTGAACTCCTTTGGGATGAATTGTGATGCCAGCTGTGAGCTGGTTCTTCTCATCCAGTACTTGACCTCACTAAGGCTCTTTTGTCTGCTCAGACACAAATTGCCATAGACTAGACATGTGCAATTTGTTTCGCTCCAAATCAAAATTCGGATGAATTTTCAGAAATTCTGACACATCTGAATTTCCGAATCCCAATGCATTCAAATGTGTCCGAATCCGAATTTTCGTTTCTGAATTTCCGATCCCGTCGGAATTTCGGTCAAAAACTAAACTGAATCAGACATGTGACTTTTCAGGCCAATCATATGTGTTTTTCGGTTTAATGCATCCGAATGTGTCTGAATTTTCGTTACGGCAACATGGGAGCCATATACAGTATATTCATATAATACTAAAGCTAAGGCTCCTAGGCCCGCATGGCATTCGGGATCCGAATAGCATTTGGGAGCTCCCAATTGCCATTCGTGTATGGGAGCCTCAGCTTTAGTATTACTGTATTTTTCCGTGTATAAGACTATACTTTTTCTTAAAAATATTTACCTAAAAATGGAGGGGCGTCTTATACGCGGGGGGCCGAGAGGAGAACTGTGGTTGCGAAACTGCCGATACCTCTGCAAACTAGCCTCACAAGTGAAACTTCCGATTGCAGAGACAAGCCAACAGGTTTCCTCCAATCATGAGCCTTATGTACCCAATGTCAGCTGATGCTGCGGAGAGTGTGTAGCCAGTGCCCAGATGCAACAGGGAGCGGTAATGTCGGAGCATTCTGAGCCCATAAAATGTCAGAAAAAAAAAAAAAATACAGGTAAATACCGGTTCCAGTAAACGGATGTCTTACTCTGCAAAATTTAAACTGGATGTAATCAGTTGCGCAAAAGAGCATGGAAAATATTGACTTCTCAATTTTGGGTAAGAAAACTGGGGGGCGTCCTATACATGGGGGGCGTCTTATAGATGGAAAAATACGGTATATGTATATGGCTCCCAGATCCGAATGGCATTTGGGATACAAATTTCCAAATTGCATTCGGGAGCTCCCGAGTCTGGGAGCCATATACATGTAATACTAAAGCTGAGGCTCCCAGACCCGAATGGCATGCAGGAGCTCCCGAATGCAATTTGGAAATTTGGATCCCGAATGCCATTCGGCTCTGGGAGATTCAGCTTTAGTATCAATATCTGTATATGGTTTTCTGCGGCAGTCGTAATGAATATTCGTTTGTAAACTTATCCAAAACTAACGGAAATTCGGATTTCGTCCGAATTTGAAACCCCGAACCAAATAGAATTTCGAACCTTAATCCCGAAATAACGAAATATCTGAACCAAACCGAATTTTTCCTGCAGCTTGCATGTCTACTATAGACACACTTGAATATCTTGTAGAAATCCTTCCTAGAAAAGTGGAGCATAGTACAGCAACAAAGCAGAGGGCCGCATTAATGTCCGTGGTTTTGGAATGGGATGTCCAACAAGCTCATATATGTGTGATGGTCAGGTGATCAAAAACCTTTGTTTATATAGTGCATTTGAATACACGCCTATATACATACATATCTATACACACATCCATATTTATACAATATAGTATAAAAACATCATGACTATTTTTATCTATTTCCATTAATGACATTTCTTACCAGTTTGGGATCAATGGAAGTTTCATTGAGAATTACATCGAGCGTTCGATTGATCCAGGAATCCCTGTAGGGGTGTTCCTTCGGGGGCCGATACAGGTCAAAGATCACCGTCTTATTGGCACGATCCGCAAGCTTCAGGTAGTCACTCAGCTTAAAAATGGACTGATTCATGGCGGTCTGCCGATCTTCCTCAGACAGGGAATCCATGGAGGAAAATGGTGGGTTCTGGAGAACACAGAAACAATTCATTTAATACTTTAAGAGGTCGCTAAACCCCAAACAGAACCCATACTGAAAAAGGTACTACTAACAATCAGAGCTAAAGTATGTATGTTCCCCACTGCACCAAAACCGTGCAAGCGCACAATCAGGCCTCACTGTCCAAATGGAAAAAAAAGACTGAATGGAAGGCCAAAGTTCACGTTTAGGGTCTGAAAGGAGGTCAACCTGATGACAGAATCTCTTTAACTCCTTCAACCCCAGTACTATTAGCCATTTGCTTGCATTGTGCTGAACATTTTGGCACGCTATGCTAACAGACTTGCCTGACCCCCAAAAATAATCCGCTTAGCCAGCATAACTTCTACGCCCACTGAGGACCTGTCCTACTATAAAACAGGTTAGAGGTCACAGTACCTGTTTGAACCATTTCCCAGCATTGAGAGTCTCCAGCAGATCCCAGGGAAACATGGCAGCGTTGGCGTTAGTCAGGTTTGGATAGACCTCCCGAATGTTTGTTGTCCTCTTCAAAGTGCTGTCATGCATGAGGAACGGAACCCCGTCATAGCTGAAAGAGCAAAAAGGCCACATGTCTGTTCACTGATATTGAGGGAATAGAGGACTTTGGAAGTTGTACATATCCATTAGATGACTTTAGAATTGCCAACGAGGGACTCTGCCACCATACAAAGCACAGAGCTGCAGAATGGGTGCTTCAAACGATGACCATACACTATAATGGGGTGGGTAACATCGGCCCCCCAGCTGATGTGGAACTACAAATCACATGAGACATTGCAAGACTCTGACAGCCACAGACATGACTCCCAAAAGCAGATCATGATGGCATTTGTAGTTTCACTGCAGCTGTGGAGTACTGAGGTGGCCTACTCCTGCACTACCTTCTGCTTGTAGGATCTCCTTATGATCTACCAACTATGTAGATCAAGGGCCCGCCTCCCTGGATGCAGATTGAATGGATTGTTTAGGTTTGTGCTAATCATTTTGCATGCACTATAGACCCCCAGATCAGCCACAATGCATGCACTTCAGACATAAGATCAGCCCCAATGCATTGACTTCAGATCTCAGGTCAGACCCAACGCATGCTCTTCAGACCTCAGATCTACCCAAATGCATGCAGGTTAGCAAGGACCTCCCAAGGTGTGGTGTCCACCGGGTGACATCCCACCGTGACGTCATCGTGCATACACTGTTATCTCCCGGAGGCCATCTTGGTGATGGACACTGGCAGAGAGAGGGGGGACATTCACCTGGCAGGATAAGGTATGCCCTGCCGGGTCTCCTCCTCTCTCGCCCATGAACGAGTGCTCAACTTTTCAGAGGGTGACACCCCCAATGGTGGTGTGGGCTTCACCCCCTTCTAGTGATGCCACTGCATGTTAGACCTCAGATCAACCCCAGTGCAAACATGTCAGATCTCATATCAGCCCTAATGCTTGCTCTTCAGACCAAAGATCAGCTCTAATGTATAAACTTTGGTCCTAAAAACAATGCATGCTCTTCAGACCTCAGATCAGCCCAAAAGCATAAACGTCAAACCTCAGATCAGCCCCAAACCCTGCACCTTTAGGAATGCAGGGTACAGATAAGGTGTGCAGATGGGCTTCTTCGGCACAGCACTATGACTTCCTTAGCCACCAGCAGGCTTTCAGTCATGTCAGGGAGATAAGTGGGCCAGGCTTTGTAATTAAAGGAGAACCATGAGGTGAGTGCTTTTCACTCACCTCATAGTTCTAGCCGACCTGTGACAATGAGACTGTCACAGGTCGGCTCAGTAGATCGGGAGGTGAGCGAGCACATACCGGCGTTCGCTCACCTCTCGATCCTGTCACGGCTCTCTGCCGTGACAGGGGAGGGGCTGGATTCCCCCCTCCCCGATCCGCCCGCTCTGACAGGGGAGGGGGCGGGTACAGCTGGCTCTGCCTCTAGAAAGGCAGAGCCAGCTGTCAGTCAGGCAGCTGAGCAGATCCAGACATAATTGTCGGGATCCGCTTCAGCTGCGGCGTCTTAGTATACGGCGAGCAGCCTAGGGTGACGGGAGGACACAAACTAGCGTAAGGACACAAACTACCCTAAGGAGAACTATGGGGAAAAGCCTTAACCCCATGGTTCTCCTTTAAAAGTCTAGTGAGCTGTCAGTCACAGCAGGTGTTAGCACACATGGAATCACATGCCTGTTTGGGGTTGCCAACACCTAGAATAGTTTTTGGCCAACCTTACTTTGGTGGTTAGTTAAAAAAAATGAAGTTAGAAGATCAATTCCCCATTATTCACTGTTCATGGAACCCCCTACAACCTCAGGAAGAACCCTGGTTGACAAAGGCTGTTACAATCCTTATTCAAAACTTTGGGCCGGGGTTGCACGTTATTTAGATCGCCTGCTTGACCGATGCTTACACCGGCCAGGGTGCTTCCTTGTGGGACGGGGGAGTTTGGCTGACAGTATTTCGGTATCAGATGATCACTTTATTGAATCCATTTTTTTCACACGCAGCTCCTAATCACGCACCACAAGATGACAATTGCCCTGGCCTCCTTCCCATCAGCTCATTCAGCGCCCAGATAAACTCAACACCGCACGAGATCTGAGGAGCAACAAAGCAGGTTTCTGAAATGTTTATCTCCCCGAGAATCTGACACATCAATCTCCTTCAATCTCACGTCCTTTGTTGCAGAATCTTTGCCGTTGCCATGGAAACCTCTTTTAGAGATCAGCAGAATGGGCCAGAGCCATCGGGGGCGAGCAGAGAAAAGAGCTTACCTGATTGTAACGTCCGACTCCAGGCCGTCTCCTTCGTGCTCGATAGTTCTTTCAAACGACATCCTGGTGTTTTCCGGCGCCAGCTGTTTGGAAATGAGAGCAGAGGCATCATTACATGGAGGAAAGATCTTAGAATTTGAACATCTCGGAGGGATGAGGAGAATTTGGCTGGCTTAGGGCTAAGCTACAAGGGCCCATTTTAATCTCTTGCTATGAAATGATTTAACCATTGGCTGGCTGCCACCTATTTACTGATGAGGATGCTGACGCCCCAAAAGATCAGGAGACTGTGGTGTCCAGAGGCGTCAGTAGTCATATACATCTGGAGAACGTTTAATTCATTAAAAGGTTTTTATTGGTGACAGCAGCAAGTAAAAACATCTCAGCGCATTTTCCAGGTCTATTACCTACCAGCCAGATGCTGCTTCTTAAAGCTGTCTTGTACGCCATCATGAAAAAGTGCCCAGAGGTTACCATGAAGATATTTCTACACCCTTCATGGCGACCTCTGGCCACTTCTTCATGATGGTGTCCAAGACAACTCTAAGTAGCTGCATCCGGCTGGTGGATAATAGACCTGGAAAATGTATTGAAGATGTTTTTACTTGCTGTTGTGACCAATACAAATCCTCGTATGAATTCACTGTTCTATGGGAGCCTCTGCAACCTACAGTATCCTCATCTTTTGGGGCCACAACATCCTTATCAGTGTTTAAAGCAGGATCTTTAAAGCCATAGACATAGGATCATCCGGACCACCCCACCAAGCATTGAGTGTGACCATTCTGCAAGGAGACAGAAAATATTCTCCACATGCTCGCTCTTTCACCAGAAATTCAATTTTCTCCAAACGTAGATGTCTCTACAAAGGCCTTTCCACACCACAGTATCCTTATTTTTTGGAGGCCTCAGCATCCTCATTAATGTTTAAAGTGGATCTTCAAAGCCCTAGCCATAGGATCATCCAGACCACCCCACTAATCATTTCGAGCTCACTGAGAATATTTTCTGTCTCTTTCACCAGAAATGAAATGTTCTCTAGACGTAGATGTCTCTACAGAGACCTCTCCACACCAGTGTCCTTATTTTTTGGAGGCCTCAGCATCCTCATCAGTGTTTAAGCCTAAGCTATAGGATCATCCACCCCCACTAATCATTTCAAGGCAAATGAGAATATATTCTATCTCTTTCACCAGAAATTAAACATTCTCCAAATGTAGATCTCTCTACAGAGGACATTCCATACTACAATATCCTTATCTTTTGTGGCCTCAGTATGCTCATCATGAAGCGGGATCTTCAAAGTTCTACCCATAGGATCATCCAGACCACCCCACCAAGAATTGAGCGTAACCATTCTGCTCGGAGACAGAAAATACTCTCCATAGGCTCTTTCATCAGGTTCTCTGACCTTATGTAAGTGCCAATAGAATATTAGAGTGCCATCATTACAATTTTCCTTGCCCAAACCTTGCTCACTGCTGACCATACTACACCATAAGGCTCTCCTGCGTGGTTTTTGGTCTCTTTTTACCCTCCACACGATTGGAGTTCTTCTTTACCTTCCGCTATCATCATGCTACTAAAATCACTAGAGATTCATTACTAAGCATAGCAACTGATCACTAGACAGGTGGAACGAATGACTCCCTATAGACTCAAGTCTACACATAGCTACACCACTGGAGGAAAATCAGCACTGAGCACCAACTGTTATCAACACTCACTACTGATCCCCAACATTTAAGTGGACACACCTTTGACCACCAACATTTAAAGGAGCACTCACAACAAACCCCAGCCATAAGGAGCCACTAACTCCTGACCACTGAAACCTATAAGCTGTTCTGTACATGGCATAGTTCTAACCCCTGCACTGGACTCTCTGACTGTATTCGCTATGTCCTAAACTAAGCAATTTTTAAAACATAATTCCTACAATCAGTATTAAATGTGTGTTAAGTGCATAATACAAACACATTGCACCGTGATAATGGGAGAAGGGTATGGAGGATACACAGAAATCAACAATACTGCAATATAGATTTTTTTAAACTTACCATTGGTGACCCCCTGTGCCCAATCAGCAGAGGTTTAGCCCCCAGTGTCCCCTCCTCTCTGATGCAGGGGGAGTACATTCCAAGTGGAATAAAATACAGAAACAGTAGCACAGCGAAATATGGACCTGTTATTATCAGCTGGGAGCCTGAAAACAAACACATAGGACTTGATTTAAAGGGGTGCAGGGGTATGGGCACTGCTGGGGTATATTGTGACCAACATAAATCTGTAATAAATAAACATCACTGTGCTGGTGAGGATTACTTGGTGCAATTTGGATGGCACCAACCATCTTGCCACTCCAGCACCCCATATGATTGGTATTTGGTGTACTACTGGTATACAATTCTTGAGAATCTCTCCAACAGTGACGCAGACAAAGGGAAGTGAAACCTCCCCAATGGGATCATGGAAAGTTAAGATTTAAACTTTATTCACTCTATCCAAAGCAACAAAAAAAAATTGTCTCTAGTCAAGCTGGCTATACAAATTTGTTATTCCTTTTGATTTCCCCACCAATGCTAAATGGAATCTCCCCTGCCAGCTATTGTAGCCAGACAGCCAACTCCCGCGGATATCACAATACCTGAACAGTGACTACGTCTGATGGATAATTTTCCATCCTGCCCCTTTGACCATAGTCAATTGAAAGACCAAAAGAAAGGCAAGCTGGGTGGTGCTGGCCAGGCCATTCATGTGAAATGAATTTTGGCTGATTCAGCAAAAAAAGGCCACAATTTGATCAATGTATGGCCAGCTTTACCATTAGAACCCTATTGGTATAGTTTTGAATAGCCACTGATTATATATCCCGGGGATTGTTCTTTAAAATACAGCAGAATAGCTCGGCGGCATTCGGCTATTCACTCATTGCTGTTCGGCCCCTATGTGAATAGGGGCAAACGGCAGCCAGTGAGCTACCGGAGCTTCAGCTCAGCTGATCCAGATGTCCTTCTGCACTGTGGCTCAGCCGAACATGCAGAGCACGCTCGGCTGACCGAAGTGCAGCCGATGTACGGCTGAAATCAGCCGTACTGAGCCGTAGTGAATAGTCGTACGTCATTCGGCTCACTTCGCTTCAGCTGGGTTATTCAATCAGCTGCCTTCGGCAGCTTTGTGAATAACCCCCTAAGTAAAGACAGTGAGTGCAGGATGTCATGGCTCCACCCCCTGAGCACCGTGCCCTGCACTTATGGTGCTTTGATGCAAAGATTGGCACTAATGTCACTTCAGTACTGCTCTCTGCATCATCCAGGCCTGCCCACAGATGGGAGATGATCAAAAAGGATAAGGACCCAGCACGTCACATGACCAGCTACAAGACATAAAAAAGGTAAGGCCTCATGCATATGTCCTATTGCATGCCCGGCCAGTCACCGGTCCCTAGTTGTCATCAATCATTGAATGTATGATGTACAGAATCCACTGTCCTGACATTACATTGTGTACATTGTCTATGGATGACTCATGAGGATGAACGCATTTTAAAAGATCGCTTCAAGGCTTAACACAGCATTGGTCTATGATCAGCAATTTTTTATTTGTAGCAGCAACACAAAGGTGACATATTTCATCCTAAACGTCACTGGTTTGGAGCCTCGAGGACAACTGACGAATATTTGAATATCATTGTCATTCCGCAAAGAAAATACAAAAATTACAGAACTGGCCTGAAGGTTTCAGAAAAATATTTGTCACCAGATATCCTGTAATACAAAAGCTCCTTGGTTACGCTTCAGGCAAGGATGAATATTTAGCATTTATTGTGAATCTATGGGCTCAGTCAAAAGGTAATGGTGCAACGTTTGCACCAATTCAGTTCCCGAGACCTAGTTAAACCATGCTTTAGGCCCACTCAGTGGGGGCCCACCCAAAGCTTGCCTCTAAATATGCAAGAACCCCCCACTCGGGCCCCATGATCACTGCAATACATGCCTTACTGAGTTACTGAGTATGGGCAGTAGCTCAACTAAGGGTAGCACTGTGATCCCGGGGCACAGCAACATCAGGACTGAGGTCCATGATGAGGGACTGTCCAGCCAAATCCAGAACACTTGACATCTACACATTTGTGGAATTCAGAGTTTAGTTATATGAGTGATTACTAGGGAGGAGCTCAGGTTCGGCTCAAACAGGGAACCTGATCACGGAAGTTACATGGGGCTCCTGCTCAGTCAGCTGTGGGTCAGAGCATTTCCCACCCTGCATCCAGCCATAAACAAAGGGCCGGGATGCATGTGCTGACATCATCGACCTTATACTTACTACAGACTGTGGTCTAATTAGAACAGGAATTGTATGGGCCACTATGAGTTTAATTTAATTTCTAACCTCTGATGTTAAAACCAGTTTCTCCTCAAACCTTTGATCAAGGGTACGTGGACATTTGGAAAGGACTCTGATTTTGGCTGATGTGGCACGTGTACATGGACTTCTCATCTCCTAGTCAGTTAGTCCAATAACACACTTAGGGGTGTATTCATGAACAGTTTGCAGAGCCATTCATCCTGCAAAACTGAATGTACACTTGTTCTGTGTGATTGGGCGGTAAGAACAAATGTTATTGGTATATTTTATTTCCAGGTGGAAGGTCATTCATTCATTCATAAGATTGGAGTGAATCAGGAAAATACAGGAAAAACAACAATGACGGAATATGATAACCAGCAGCTTAATCTGCGCTGTTTAGCATGGATGGCGTAATCAAACATAATTACACTTTCCTGCACTCACAGGATGTCCTCAGTCTTTGGGGTTGCATTGCACTGGTGTCGATCAATCAGGAAGACTAAGGACATCTAGCGGCAATAAAGAATTACTGCAGAAGACTGTGCCGGAGGTAAGTTGAGTACTGCAGCTGATTTTTTCATTTTAAACACTGGTTATGGCTCTTTTAAAAAAATTAATACTGCAGTTGGGCTTCATGTTTTCATAATAATAATCTCCTTACTTCTTTTAGCCATCCGGACAAAATAAAGGGCCGCCGGCCAGGCCAGAAGGGTCATGGCTGCCAGGGAACCAATGTGCAAGTACGGAGCCGTCACCTACAAAGTAAGGAAACGCAGAGGTAGTATAAAATACAAGAGCATAGAAGAAGAATGATCTACATTAGACGTCAGCTTTCAGGGTTTGCTGTAGTCAGTGGTGAAAGATGATTTCTGATTGGTTGAAGTGAAGAGAGGCTAGTGGCGGGAGGATTGAACCGTAATGGTTAGTTAAGCCAAAAGTTTTATTTTAGTTCCATCAACCACATGATATCCCAGCCATAATTCTCGACTCTGATCCCGTCCTCCAGGAAGTTTCAGGTGTTCCTGCCCACTTTTGTTTGTCTCGGCTCCTCCCATTAATTCTTTATAGTATGAAAATCAGAAAAATTCAACAGGGATAGGGTAAGCCCCTCATAATGGGCACAGCATGTGCACAGACCCGGGAACTCAGCACAGTGATGGTGGGAACCCTTCATAATAGGGCACAGCAGGTGCACAGACCCGCGGACTCCGGTCATGTGATGGGGGGAACCCTTCATAATAGGGCACAGTAGGTGCACAGACCCACAAACTCAGCTCAGGGATGGTGGGAGCCCCTCATAATGGGCCCAGCAGGTTTGCAAACCCGGGAACTCAGCTCAGGGATGGTGGGAGCCCCTCATAATGGGCACAGCAGGTGTGCAGACCCAGGAACCCAGCACCGAGTTCTCACCAATAGAGCCTCTGGGGAATAAAAATAAACTGTCGGGGGAGTTTAACTCTACAGCATCCATTATACACTTCATTATCAGTCTAAGGTGGACTGATCCTTTAAGGCTCAGCCACATACATCTACCATGCAGACTGTCACATTGTCTCTTTCACAATCAAACAACTAAAATCCTCCATGAAGAATGCAGGAAAGAAAACGTCAAAAATGGGAACTGTCAGAAAGTGAAATGCAGTTTGTACCTGGAAGGAAAGGCGAACAGCAGACCATTCTTCACCCCATAAATTAGACAGGGCAGCGAGAGCAGCAATAAAAAACACAAGAGCGACCAGCGTCCCGGCCTGCCGGAGATATGAGTGGTCAGTAGGACAACAAACCAATTTTATCTAGGTGAGCAATGAAGCAGCAAAGAGTTCTAATATAACTGATTTATAGTGAACACACGGCCTAAAACATGTCATTTGTTTATACTAAAATACATATTTTCAGTCTTTGTTGCATCTCAGTGCTGCTGATCTCCTGCAGCCTTTTTGCAGTAACTTCCTGTCTACATGCACTCCAGAGATGATTGCATGGCATGCTGCAGGGAGGCTTTTCTGATGGTGATAACAGTAGACATTGCCTGTGCTATGTGTGTTTAAATGGCTAGTTGCAGCCTTCAATGGAAGCCTAGGTGACAACGCAGGAGAGTAACTGGGAGATGGAGAGGATGTTGTCATCCCATAACAGAAAGTGATGAGTAAGTATTTTCATGGCAGGATTATCAGGTATTAAAGTACATCTAAAGGCTCATCTGCTAAAGTCTGAACAACTCCCAAAATCCAGGTACTATGTGATACACAATTATCATGAGATTAAAAAAACATCTGTCGTCCACGAATGAGCAAAATTCTCCCTAATTTGTGTCTCACATGCTTCCCCTCCAGACACTGCAGCTTTCAGTGGGCGTTTTCCACGGGCTGCCAATCTAGAAAGCAGTGGGCGGGACTAGGTGTGATTAACAAGCTACAGGCTTTTGAATCAGCAGTGACAATGCTGATAGCAACGTCTCCTGCAACATTTTCTCATCCCTCTGTGGAGCTTGCAACCTACAGGAGGGTGACAACGCTGCTCTGAATTCAGCAGCACTGCAGCATCGTTGCCTCCCCATCACAGGAAGCTGCATTAGGTGGACTTATCTGGCAGGATCAACGGGTATTTGTACGAATTTGCAAGGGGTCTAAGTGAAAAAACTGTAAGTACTGATGCCCTTACAATGAAGTGCTGCAGCATATACATCTTTTTAATGAGAGGCCATGGTTCTACTTTAAAAGGAGAACTATGGGGTAAGTGCTTTTCCCCATAGTTCTCCTATGGGTCACGGGAGGACACAAACTAGCATCCTCCTGTCACCCAAAGCTCAGTATACCGCGAGTATACTGAGACCGCCGCAGCCGGGAAGGATCACGACATTACTGCCTATCTAGAGGCAGAGTCAGCTGTACCCGCCCCCTCCCCCGTCCGTTCCGCCAGTCAGTGCTGGAGGAGCGGGGAGGGGGGAATTCCTGCAGGGAGCCGTGAGTGACAGTCACGGCTCTCTGCAGGCACAGTATCGAGAAGTGAGCGAACGACGCTATGTGTTCGCTCCCTTGCCGATCAATTGAGCCGACCTGTGAAAGTTTCATTGTCACACGTCGGCTCGAACTATGAGGAGGAGTGATTTTCACTCACCTCATAGTTCTCCTTTAATCCCAACTTTCACTTTAAATCAGCTAAATCCAGGTTCATAAAAACAAAGGGTGTAAAGTCTCACGGTTCATTTTCTTTAGAAAGCAGCCACAGCCTGAGAAAAAAAGCCCGTCCCTTGCCAGCATGCTGCAGAGAAGGACACTTGCACTCTATGGGGAAGCAGTGGTCTCTCTGAAGAAACCCAACATGCCCCCTGCTGAATCTGGCCTATAGCTCTCCAATTAGAAAAGCTTATGTTCCCTATAGACTGGGTAGATTTGGCTCTGATGTGGGTATGTCAGACCTGTGCAGAGAGACCACTGCTTCCATGCAGTGTGCATTCTTTTTGATGTATTATAAGGATGAATGCACTAAATTGTTAGGGGAATAAGAATTCAACTTGAAGATTCAACACGGTCGGTCATTTCTAACACCATTTCTATTTACATATGTATGACATATCTTTTAACAAGTCTTACCTTGTGACTCCAGTGTAGATAGAGCTCCTGACCTTCTGACAACAAACATACCGCTAAAACCTAAAATAAAAGAAAATATACTGTACAAAAATCGTTCTTCTGTCATTCATTCTCCAATAATATCAATATATGATTAATTTATAGGATAACATATTGGAAAGAGGTCAAAAGAGAGCATTTAATCACATCAGTCCCCGCCCCCGAGGATCTCACAATCTACTGTCCTTGTAGATACACTGGAGACAAAAGCCATATAACCTGCCAGTAAGGTCCTGCTCACAACTGGGCATTAAATGTGTGTGAAACTGCACATAAAACCCCAAATTATATCTGTGCTACTAAAGCCTATGGCACTGTCCTGGTATCAGCCTCTTGCAGTCCCTGTACAGCGGAGCTGGAATGTGAGGGGCAGTAGCAGTACAAGGAGGCAATCCGTTAAGAAGCATGCTGATAGAAGCACATTCACGCTTGATCTTTTCATTCTTTCTTATGCATTTGTACAAGTTTTTTGAGCCTAGGAGGAGGAGGCTTGTTAGGTGTAAAATCATGTTACAATGCTACGGGGGCTCCCACTGAAGTTTATTGGGACCAAAAACACATGATCATGCCCCAAAAAAACCTCTTGTACGTCTTCTGAGCATTGAGCGACAGCATGTTGCTCAGATGTGAACAAGCGCAATAGAATAACATGTAAATCTGAATGTCGAGCATTGAAACTCTTCCCGAAATGCAAACCCATTCTGAACATGAAGTCTTCCGAACATGGAAGTGCCAAGGGTACTTACACCCAATTGACCGTGAGACGGGCATTCCCCCACCCTGCAGTTGCACATAAACAAAGGAGTGAGATGCTTGTGCTGAAGTAGTTTACCTTATAGGGCCACATGACCATTTAGGTCAATGTCATTGGCCAAATATAGCCCTGTGGCCATATGAGGTCAAAGACGTCCCTGTATTCCACCCTTTTTGCATATGTGCAGCTGCGGGCAGGGAATGCCCATCCGACAGCTGATTGAGCCTGTGGCTCATGGCCCTTCTATGTTCAGAGGAGCTCAGGTCTGGCTCTGGTTTGGTTGAGCTTATCCCTACTCATCGGACTTAAAGCCCAATGGAACTTCCATGTTCTGTACTTCCTTCCATATTCAGAGGAGCTCCTTCTGTGTTCAGAGGAGCTTAGCTCTGACTCATGTTTGGTCAAACCTGAGCTTATCCTTACTCACCAGATGTAAAGCTCAGTGGAACTCTCAGGAAACTCATGGAAGCTCAGGCTTCCTTCTATGTTTGGAGGGGCTCAGGTCAAACCTGAGCTCATCCCTGCTCAGCAGACATAAAGCCCAATGGAACTCCCATGTTCCATGCTTCTTTCCATGTTCAGAGGTACTCCTTTTGTGTTTGCAGGAGCTCAGTTTCTGACCGTGTTCAGTGCAACCTGAGCTCATCCCTACTCACCAAACTTAAATCCCAGTGGAACATCCATGTTTAATGCTTCCCTCCATGTTCAGAGGAGCTCTTTCTGTGTTTGGAGGAGCTTAGGTTGGGACTGGTTTTGGCCAAACCTGAGCTCATCCCTACTCACTAGACTTTTTTTTTTTTTTAAATCAAGAATCAGCTTTATTTTGGTCAGGGCGTCCGTAGACCAAGTAAACGGAAAGGTAGTGCGTAGGTGTACTCACTAGACTTAAAGCCCTATGAAACGTCCATGTCCCATGCTTCCTTCCATGTTTAGAGGAGCTCCTTCTGTGTTTCAAGGAGCTCAGGTTTGGACCAGGTTGATCAAACCTGAGCTCATCCATACTCAGTAGACTTAAAGACAAGTGGAACGTTAATGTCCCATGATTCCTTCCATAGTCAGAGGAGCTCCTTTTGTGTTCAGAGGAGCTAAGGTTTGGACCAAGCTCATCCTTACTGGTGAGAACCCCTATGCAGTTATCCACGCACTGATAATTGTTTGCAGTCACGGAGAAGTTACATCGTCACAAATAAACTTCCATCCTCTAAACACTGGAATCTTCAAAGTCTCCAAATGTCCAATCTACTGACAACTGAGCGTCTACAACAAGGACTCCTGTGTGCTGAACTGAAATGTGTCTAATTGTTCAAATAAAAGGGAGATTTCAGCCATTCACCGCATCTTTCTGCAGAGTATATTTTATATCTATTGAAACAGAGAACTGTGAAGAGTCGTCTTTGTAAAAAGCTCATCTCAAGTTAGAACGGTAGATTAAAGTACGGATATTATCTGATTGGAAGCGAAGATGGATTGTGATAAGGAGATAAATGCCCGAGTCACAACAATCTACTGGCTCTGTGGTTTTTCTTCTTTATCTGAGACATTGTGTTCTTAGACGCAAACTCCAAGAGCTGAACTACGCAGATGAAATAAGTATACAGTACCTGCTTCACCTGCCACATGGAGTTCTAGATGTGCTTAGCTGATCTTGTGATCCAGGCCCCCCTACCACACATCATAATCAGCTTGCTGACCTCACTCTTCACTGCTGCAGTTAAAAGAAACCTGCGAGAATGTGCTGGCTATCACTGCTGAGTAGACATGTGCAATTCGCTTCGTTCCGCATCACAATTCATACGATTTTCCAAAATTCGGATATTCGGACACATCTGAATTTCGATTCCCAATGCGTCCGAATCCAAATTTCCATTTCTGAATTTCAGATCTTTTCCGAATTTCGTTCAAAAATAAAACTGAATCAGACATGTGACTTTTCTGGCCAATCATATGTGTTTTTTGGTTTCATTAATCCGAATCGGTCTGAACACGAATTTTCGTTACAGCAACATGGGAGCCATACATATACATATAATACTTATAATACTAAAGCTGAGGCTCCCAGACCCGAATGGCATTCGGGATCCAAATTTCTGAATTACATTGGGGAGCTCCCAAATGCCATTCGGGTCTGAGAGCCTCAGCTTTAGTAATATTTGTGTATGGCTAACAAAGACCCGAATGGCATTTGGGAGCTCCCGAATGCAATACAGAAATTCATTCAGGTCTGGGAGATTCAGCTTTAGTATTAATATCTGTAGATGGTGTTCTGTGGTATTTACAACGAATATACGTAAACTCATCCGAAACTAATGAAAATCGGGATTTCGTCCTAATCCGAAACCCGAACTGAATTGAATTTTGGATCCGAATCCCAAAATAACCGAATCGAATTTTTCCGCAGCTTACATGTCTAGTGCTGACCTCCGCTTCCAAAAAAAGCGTGTTTCCTGGCTGTTAGGCTGATCCAACAGCATCAATACTTTTTAAGGTCTGATCTGGGACAAGCATCTATAGATCAGGGGTAAGCAAACTCCAGCCCTCCATCTTTGATGTAACTGCAAGTCCCATGAGGTATTGCAAGGCTGACAGCCACAGATATAACTCCCAGAGCCACAGGCATCATGGGATATGTTGTTTTGCCACAGCTGGAGGGCCAGAGTTTGCCTATCTCTGCTCTAGATTAAAAAAAAAAAAATTGCCATTGACTTTCTAACACTCAGAATGCCGGCTACTAGTATTCTGAAAAGTAGGTCAGCAATCGCAGCCTTTGTATTACAGTATATATTTCCTTAAAGTTGAACCTGAAACATTACAGCTGTGTCTTTAATAACTGTCTTGAGTTCAGCATTGAACACCAGGCACTGTCTGCATGCTTATTAGCAGCCTGTGTATAACTGACAAAGCCAGAAGATCCTGTCTCTTCCAAGGATCCTGTCTCTGCCAAGGATCCTGTCTCTGCCAAGGATCCTGTCTCTGCTAAGGATCCTGTCTCTGCTAGTTTATTTCTCTTTTATACTTTACATATAACCATACTAGGTGCACCCAGTTTGCAAACTTTGCTGCACTTTATAATAAAAACACCCAGCACTGCCTGCAAGCTTGTTAGCAGTCTGTGTATAATTGACCATGCCAGAAGATCCTGCCTCTGCTAGAAAGAACTGGTAAAACATGCCGTTCCCAGCCGTTGAGAAGCTACCAGCACCTACAAGGCCATTTCTGTACAATAAAATACAAAGAGTGATATTACATGCGTTGGCTTACCACTAATAGTGCAATATATGAAAACAGAACCGCCACCACCACCAGGATCAGTAAAGACCAGAGGAACCAGTATCCCAGACTGCGATAGGTGTACCTGGAAAGGAAGAACAGTGAAATCCTGAGATATTTTCAGGCAGTCATCATGAACTGTGGCCGATTGTGTCATGGGAATATGGAGACATAACAGATTTGCTGATCAGGCATTTTTTTTAATCCAATGTGGAAATCCAATCTGACCCGTGGGAGATGTTCCCGTTCTGTGGTATGCTTAAAGTCAAAAATAAACTGAAACTGAGCACTTGTTGAAAAAAAACCACCATAAATACAGATTTCCGTTGGCCCCTCCCACCACCTGTCAGCCCCTCCCGCCCACGTTGATCTACTTACATTTACATAGAGACGCACATGCTGACATCACTGGGTGGAAAATAAGGAATGCAATGAAAACTGAAAGGTTTCAGTAGCGTGCCAATAAGGGGGGAAGAAGGAACCAGTTGGAGTCCGTGGGAGCCATGCTGTGTCTGAGTCCACCCCCACCAGCAGGGCTGGATTTCCCACAAGGCCAACCAAGGCCCGGCCTTGGGGCAGCAGGGAGTAGAGGGGCAGCAGGGGTGTGAAATTCCTGTCTCCCGACACCCGGGACATGCAGTTCCGGGCACGGGATGGGTAGTTGTTTTCTTCAGTTAGCCCTGCTTTGGACATTGAGGAACCTGGCCTTGGGGCAGCAGAGAGAGTAAATCAGGCCCTGCCCACCAGGTCTGTCAACTTACCCCTTTAGTTAATGAAGAACCCGAATTACTCTGGCATGGACTCAACCCACTGAGCCACAAAAGCTGTATAACCTATTCAGTATATATAGTATTTGTCTTTAAAGGGATGAGATGGCCAGCCTGGTCCCCGACATTACACAATGTTGGCTGGCGCATGATACGCACCAAGGAAAGCTCCTATTGGTTTCAAGAAAACTTGGTTGAAATTAACATTGGGTCATGAAGGCTTTTGTTCTGTTCAGCTGACTATGAGAAATGGTCACAAAGGTCCAATTTTAAATTCTTCCACATAACTGTTGAAGGCATGGGGACCCAATCAATGAACAGAAAGTATTTTCTCTTACATTGCTTAGTGCATCTTACATAGTTAGTCAGGTTGAAAAGAGACACAAGTCCATTGAGTTCAACCTATAGAGACAGAGATCTGTCTCTGGGAGTCATGCCTGTAGCTGTGAGAATCTTGCATTGCCTCATGGGATTTGTAGTTTCCCCACAGCTGGTGGGCGGGAGGTTACCCACACCTGCACTAAGCAATGTAAGAGGAAATCATTTCTCTGGGAGGAAAAAAATACTTCCTGTTCATTGGGTCCCTGTACCTTCAACAGTTATGTGGAAGAATTAAAAATTAAACATTTGTGTCCATTGCTCATAGTCAGCTGAACAGAACAAAAGTCTTCATGACCCAATTTTCATTTCAACCAAGTTTTCATGACTCAATAGGAGCTTTCCTTGGTGCGGATCATCAACCAACATGGTGCAATGGTGGGAACCAGGTTGGCCACCTTATCGCTTTAATTACAAACTTATACTGTATAGGGCCGGAGGTTCTCCACCCCTGGCTTAGTGCTTTACAGTCCGTAAACTCATTCATTTTCATGGACGATATGTGTGCTCTGCAAAGACCAGAGCCCTGAAAGCAGCTGTGGATGAAGTAAGATAGTTGTTGTGAGAGGTGCTGCCATTGAAAACGTCATCTATAGCAGGACTGATTCTAATTCAGCAAGCTGATTTCAGGTAAGGGTCACAGCGTCACGCAGTCCAGGTCTCCACTGTGGAAGTTAAAGCCCAACTCCAAGCAAAACATTTGATTCCATTCTGGGTAGAGTTGGGAAGGATAAGGATCCCCAACTGGTTTTTATTACCCTGTATAGGAGGCTTTCCTTCAACCATCTGCTGAGGGGCACTGCACTTAAAATATTCTATAACTCACATCTTTTATTCTGTCCAACATACAGTATATCATTCCCCACTTTCAAGCCCTGATGAAGGGGGTGCCCCCAAACTGCGTCTTTTATCCTAATTCATATTGAAATACTTGTAACTTGGACAATTAATTCTCAGATTTTTATATCCATTGAGTTGCAAACCAAGAAAACTGTGGAAATCTATTGGGATGGAGAAGCTGCCAGTCCAGAATCATGAAACCCCTGTCCAAATGCCCCCACAACCCCTAGGCTAATAGGATAACCCTAACTATGACCAGCACTACTCTTCCCAAATGTTAATTCAATTTGAAACTAAAAACAAATGGCTGAATTTAGGCATTAATAAGGTTGCGATTCACCATTTCCAAGTTGTAAGGCCCACCTGTCAATAAACAGAACCCACTGAAATGGCTACAGGACTAAGATAGAGCACCCTAGGAACTCTGACTCCAACATCGCTCTAATATGCCAAAACGTTTATTTGTTAGCAGTCTCAAGAACTGATCGCCCCATCTCACCCTCTGCACCTCCCTACTGGCTCATCACTATGAGAGGCAGCTTTGCTGGCTAATATGAGGGTGAGGTGGAAGGCAGGAGGGTAGGAACCAGGTCCTAACGTTGCTTAGAAGTATCGTTGTTGGCATATTAAAGAGCACTGGGAACTGGAGTTGCAAATAGGGGCATTGCTAGATCCTGGCACCCATGATATGTGTCCCATGTCTTCTACTGAGTGCCCCATGTGTTTCAATGTAAATGGGATTCATAAATGTTGCCATCATCCCAAGTATAGAATTGAAGACAAGCGTATTTCAGTCTTGGCCATCCATTCTTACTCCCATTAGTAACTGTATTTTACCCTCAAATTTCAGATCTGATTCAAAGAGGTTTTTTTTTTAATACCAGTGTATTAAAAAGAGAATGAACAGCAATGTCACCCACCTTTAATGATGGTATACTACAAACCCTACCACATAAGGTGCTCAGGGGTACCCTAGATGTCTAAACCCTAATCCTCCTCCTAGTTCTCAAGAAGACCTCTTAAAGGTATAGGCAGGCACTGATAGGTCCCTGTGGAGACATCAAAGTGCTTTGATTGCTGACAGGTGTACTTTGAATGGAATTGGTAGAAAGCCACTTGCACTCCAACTTGATTCTTAGTCAATCTTTTTATTGACCATGGTTGTGTCACATTGTATAAGTGACGTTTCAGAACCAAGAGGTCCCTTCTTTAAGCAGATAACTCTTTGTCTGCCTGGAGAAGGGACCACTTGGTTCCAAAACGTCGCTTATACAATGTGACACAACCATGGTCAATAAAAAGATTGACTGAGAATCAAGTTGGAGTGGCTTTCTACCAATTCCATTTGATTCGCGGAGGCCGTCTGCAGTCACTCCAGCTCCCACCCGATATCTGAGGGTTCTGGAGTGCGATGGGATTTACTATGGATTGAGGTATACTTTGAAGATATAAAATATGGTAGGTTGTACAGTACAGGAGTGATTTTAAAAATCTTGACAGTACTCACCAGTCAAAATCATTGTAGTCATTCTTTGCTTCCCCCCAGAAATACAAGAAGACCAGAGACAGGCAGAACGCACTGATCAGAAACAAGAAGAACAGGCTCTCCTTCTGCAAGACATAAATATAATATGAATCATACGGGGATGGTCGAGGTTCATGGTGTAGACCCTTTGTATAGTCTTTTGCTTTGGCCTGCATGGGGGAAATCACTGGTTCACTTACGTGGAACTCCAGCCAAAAGGTCAACAGGTATTAATTCCTGAACCTGGATATCAGAGGTGCTGCATTCAACTTCAGTAATTCATGGTTGAAGAAAGTCAGTTGAGTCCATAAGGAGTGTAGTAGATCCAGTGAGGCCAATCTCAACAAAACAGCGTGCCCCTTATCTAGGGGATCTGAATGTTAAGATCCATGGATAGAAAGTTGGATGAAGGGGAAGTGTCTGAACCCCTGAAATGTGCTTGCTGTTCCATGTTTTCTTGTTATGAACAAACATTGATATGAAAAGATTTTGGACTCTTAGATCTATGGTCACATAGGTATTAAATTCTTGTCTGTGCTCCAACTGGGGAGATTCACCACCACTTCCTGTATGTAACCCAGGACAACAAGTTAGTGGAAAAACTACCTAGTGAGTGTGTTGTTGTCCATCCCCTCCACTGCTTTACATCAGAGCTTACACTGAGCAGAACAGGACAAGTATCTATTGTACAGTATCATTGGATTAGTTTCTGGCCGTGTAATGACTCGCCTCCTGGCTTCCTGATTGGCCAGCTTCCCAACTAATCAGGAAGCCGGGCGGCGAGTCATTACACGGCACCCAGCTTCCTGATTGACCGGGTGACGAGGGAGCATGGAGCCGTCTTTCTGGTCAATCAGGAAGCCAGGGGGCGGGTAATGACTTGCTGTCCAGCTTCCTGATTAGCCAGTGTCCCGACCAATCAGGAAGCTTGGCAGTGAGTCATTACACACTGCCCGGCTTCCTGATTGACCGGGAAGCCGACTTCATGCTGACAAGGGAGCATGGAGGAGGCTTCCAGGCCAATCAGGAAGCCAGGGGGCGAGTCATTACCTGCCTCCCTGCTTCCTGATTGGCCGGGAATCCAGCTCTACGCTCCCTGGTGACGAGGGAGCATGGAGTCGGCATCCCGGCCAAACAGGAAGCCAGGCAGCGTGTAATGACTCGCCGCCTGGCTTCCTGATACCGGAAGTTCCGATATCAGGCTAGGTATCGGGAGCATTTGGGCGAGTATGACTACTCGGCCAAATACTCGATATCAGCACTGATACCAATACTAGTATCGGTGCATCCCTATATTTTATGTTCAGGTCGAATGTAATGTAATGTAATACTGCATTACAGCTACTAGATGGAGCTGAGGAGTATAGGAAATAAGTATTTCCTCGTCTTTATGTTATGAAAATGAGGAGATTGGGAGCTGGGCTGTAGTCCTAACCTACTTCAGGAGACAACACTACTCCTCCATAGATACAGCGAAATGAGTTAGCATTGTCACCCTAGGACAGGAAGTTTGTTACTGGCAGGATCACCAGTTGAAAATAAAGGAACAAGAGCATGAAAAAAAGAAAGCTAATGCAGCCACCACATCTTAGGACTGGGAAGCTGCAGTATAGTATGTTTTTGTTCTTGGGTTTAGCTACAAATAAGGCCTGGCAGAGTTCTTCTTTATATTCTTCTTTAGAATATTAATAAATCAGAACTGAAACACAGATCCCATTGTAATCTGATCTCCGTCCTGTAATAACACATTGCAATGTTTTTTTTGTTCTGTAAAAGGAAGTAAATTCTCAGCTGATTGTCTTTGTATGTTATAGACAGGCTGCCATTACAGGCTGTAATTGAATCTCTGTTGTGTGACAATTCAGTAGGCAGTTATTGCTGCACTTTCTGTCCTAATTCTCCCGGCAGAAAACCTGTCATTTTCTAGATGTGGAAATCTCGATTGGCCTCCATTATGGCGCCATTAGGAGCTGGTGTGAAGTGTGCGGCACAGAATGTCCTGTGTACGTCAAATGTCACAGAATAAAATACCAGCTCGATGCAGATTTGTTTGTCTGGGAGGAGGAAAAAACACTTTCTGCCTGCTGTTATCAATTATTTTTGTGTATCTGCTGGTACCACACTCTAAGCACCCCTAATAATGGACGCCTGCCGGTGGTCTGCGCCAAACTCTGATCCCTTCTGGTAATTTGTTCTAAACTTCACTGATAGTTAATCCCAACCAGCACCCTTTACTGGTAATCTGTTCCAATTATTACCCTTTATGGGTATTCAGTTCTTTCCAGCACCCTTTACTGGTAGTGTATTCCAACCAGCACCTTTTATTAGTAGTCTGCTCCAACCATTCCCCTTTACATGGAAGCCTACCCTAACCAGCATCCTTTACTGGCAGCCTGCACTAAATAGCACCCTTTACTGGTAGTGTATTCCAACCAGCACCTTTTATTAGTAGTCTGCTCCAACCATTCCCCTTTACATGGAAGCCTACCCTAACCAGCATCCTTTACTGGCAGCCTGCACTAAATAGCACCCTTTACTGGTAGCCTGGACTGAACAGAACCCTTTACTGGTAGTCGGTTCCAACCAGCACCCTTTACTGGTAGCCTGGACTAAACAGCACCCTTTACTAGTAATCTGTTCCAAATATCACCCTTTATAGGCATTCAATTCTTTCCAGCACCCTTTACTGGTAGTTTATTCCAACCAGCACAATTTATTAGTAGTCTGCTCCAACCAGCCCCCTTTACATGGTAGTCTGTTCCAACCAGCACCCTTTACTGGTAGTTTATTCCAACCAGCACAATTTATTAGTAGTCTGCTCCAACCAGCCCCCTTTACATGGTAGTCTACCCCAACCAGCATTCTTTACTGGCAGCCTGCACTAAATATTACCCTTTACTGGTAGCCTGGACTGAACAGCACCCTTTACATGGTAGTCTGTTCCAACCAGCACCCTTTACTGGTAGCCTGGACTGAACACCACCCTTTACATGGTAGTCTGTTCCAACAAGCACCCTTTACTGGTAGCCTGGACTGAACACCACCCTTTACTGGTAGTCTGTTCTAACCAGCACCCTTTACTAGTAGACTGTTACAATTATCACCCTTCATAGATATTCTATCCCAACCAGCCCTCATTACTGGTAGTTTATTCCAGCTAGCACCCTTTACTAGTAGTCTACTCCAACCAGCAACCTTTACATGATAGTCTACCACAACCAGCACCCTCTACTGGTAGCCTGGATTGAACAGATCCCTTTACTGGTAGTCTGTTCCAACCAGCACCCTTTACTGGTAGCCTGGACTGAACAGCACCCTTTACTGGTAGTCTGTTCCAACCAGCACCCTTTACTGGTAACCTGGACTGAACAGAACCCTTTACTGGTAGTCTGCTCCAACCAGCACTCTTTACTGGTAGACTGTTACAATTATCACCCTTCATAGATATTCTATCCCAACCAGCACTCATTACGGTAGTTTATTCCAGCTAGCACCCTTTACTAGTACTCTACTCCAACCAGCAACATTTACTGGCAGCCTGCTCCAGCTCGCACCCTTTACTGGTAGTCTGTTCCAGCCAGCACATTTTATTGGAAGCCTGCACCAACCAGTAGCTTTTACTGATAACCTATTACAACCAACGGCATTTATTGGTAGTCTGTTCTGAACAGTGCCCTTTACTGGTAGTGTGTTCCAACAAGTAGCCTTCATTGGTATGCTATTTCAACCAGCACTGGTAGCCTGGTCCACCCAGTATACCTTCCTAGTGGTGAATATCAAACAGTATTTCTAGGCAGTAGGCTATTTCATGGGCCTCCTTCTACTCTCGTACTTTCAACCAGAACCTTTTACAGGTAATCTGTTCTGAACGGTGCCCTTTACTGGTAGTCTGTTTCAACCAGCACTCTATTGGTAGTCTGTTCCAGCTAGAACCCTTTATTGGTAGTCTGTTTCAACCAGAACACTTTATTGTTAATCTGATCTGCACAGCACCATTTACTCCTAGTCTGTTACAACCAGTAGCCTTCATTGGTATTCTCTGTTTGAGCCAGCACCCATTAATGATATTCTGTTGCAACCAGCACTCTTCACTGGTAGCCTGGTCCTCTCAGTATAGTATACTATGCTAGTAGTGCCTGCCAAACAGTATTTCCAAGCAGTAGGCTATTTCATGGGCCTCCTTCTGCTGCCCCATGGTTTCAACCAGAACCCTTTACAGGTAGTCAGTTCAGAACAATGCCCCATACTGGTAATCTGTTCCAACCAGAACTCTTTACTGGTAGCGTGTTTCAGCCAGCACCCTTTACTGGTAGTCTGCTCTGAACAGTGACCTTTGCTAGTTGTCTGTTCCAACCACCACTCTTTACTGGTAGTCTGTTCCAAACAGCATCCTTCACTAGTAGTTGGTTCTAACCAGCGCTCTTTACTGGTAGTCTGTTTCAGCCAGCACTCTTTACTGGTTGTCTTTTCCAAACAGCACACTTTACTGGTAGTCTGTTCCAACCAGCGCTCTTTACTGGTAGGCTGTTCCAACCAGCACTCTTTACTGGTATTCTGTTCCAGCCAGCACTCTATACTGGTAGTCTGTTCCAGCCAGCACCCTTTACTGGTAGTCTGCTCTGAACAGTGACCTTTGCTAGTTGTCTGTTCCAACCACCACTCTTTACTGGTAGTCTGTTCCAAACAGCATCCTTCACTAGTAGTTGGTTCTAACCAGCGCTCTTTACTGGTAGTCTGTTTCAGCCAGCACTCTTTACTGGTTGTCTTTTCCAAACAGCACACTTTACTGGTAGTCTGTTCCAACCAGCGCTCTTTACTGGTAGGCTGTTCCAACCAGCACTCTTTACTGGTATTCTGTTCCAGCCAGCACTCTATACTGGTAGTCTGTTCCAGCCAGCACCCTTTACTGGTAGTATATTCTAACCAGCACTCTTATTGACAGTCTGCTGCAGCCAGCACCCTTTAGTGGTAGTCTCTTTCAACCAGAACATTTTAATGGTAGTCTTATCAGAGCAACACCCTTTACTTGTCATCTGTTATAATCAGTAGCCTTCATTGGTATTCTCTGTTTGAGCCAGCACCCTTTACTGATAATCAGGTTCCAAGCAGCACTCTTCATTGGTAGTCTGGTCCTTCTTGTATACTCTACTAGAAGTGCCTACCAAAGAATATTTGTACACAATAGGTTATTTCATAGAGCTTTTTCTTCTGTTCAAGGGTACTGGTAGTCTATTTCAAGCACTGTACTCTAGTAATATTCCATCAGAACTACCTAATGACAGTTAAAAAAAAATACTATTTTTATTCTGTTCCAAGTCCCGACTCTACATGTACCAACCCTACTACTTACCCATCGGCAGCACCACTGCCCAGGCTCGGTCTTCTGGCGCTGGTACCGTTTCCATCTACAGCTGTAGAGGCCTGCCAGCAGCGAGATGAAAGGCTGATGCTCATAATGCTGCAGGAGCCGTCGGCGTACAATTTTCAGCTTCCCAAGCCTCAACCTGCGCAGGTTGGTGGACGAAACCCCCATCTGTAGAGCCTCACATCATCCCTGTGTCTAGAAATAAACAAAAGACATTGCTATTAGATAGACAGCAAATTAAATGTACAAACGGATGTTAAAAAAACATTGAATGAACACTGGTAGGCAACTTGGCATATATCATTCTAGAGGGGCAGAATTTGCTTGTAATGTTACTCCCTCTTGACAATTACTGTATGATCTGTAAAGCATTAAAATGGATGAATGCAAGTCTTTCCCCTAGCCATATAACTATGGGACTTTTAGAGCAGGTCTAGTTCTTGGAATGGAGACTTAGATATACAGGCAGTCCCCGAGTTACAAACATCCGACTTACATGCGATCCCTACTTACAAACGGAGGCTGTTACTGTACAGCAGGGGTCCCAGGCTGCAGGCAAAGTGTACCGTGCAGCATTTCAGTAGTTGTAATGTTACCGTGTTCGTGCCCACCTTTTTGGGTCACGTTCGTAGTACTGTACGTACATTACAGGAAGTTGGCTCTTGTTAGACGTGTAGACGAGGGGTGCCCGCCTCTTCTTCGGGGTCAGTCACTGTGGTTTTTTTTTACTGCTGTCTGTATCCTCATTAGAAAGAATTAATCTCACTTCCTGTCCTTGAGAAAACAGGAAGTGAGAGGAAATCTACTCCTAGTAAGTGAAATTCACTGTAAGAGTGATCATTGGAAAATGGTGTCTCCACTGAAGCGTAATCACCAATCCTTGTTTCCACGACAACCCAAAATGTTCAAAATCCAATTGTCACAGGGACAGAAAGTGAGGTGAAATCTTTTAAACAGGGGCACACACAGCAAAACAAACGTTACAGTGGGTTAACGCTTCCCTATGCTATCCAAAACTAGAAAAACATTTTTGGGCTGGAGTTACACTTAAAACATTTACCTGTTCCAATTTGCATACAAATTCAACTTAAGAACACGCCTATAGTCCCTATCTAGTTCATAACTAAGGGACTGTCTGTATAAGGAGCTATGTAACTATTACTTTACTGGAAAAACACAATATAAAGGTACAACACCCCAGGCTTAACTGGCAGGGCATTTCACAGATTCCATGCTTACGAGATATGCACAAAAACTGGCAGATAAGGCTTCAGTATTACTCTCTCCCTAATTAACCAGTGACAGGAAGAGACAACAAGCATCAACCGCCTTTCTTTATGTAAGGCCTAAAGGAAAATCAAGAGCCAACCAACCAAGAGCCAAAGGGCCTGGGTTGCTTTTGTTGATGTTGTGAGTGCTTCTTACCACATTCAAGTCAACTAGAAGGCAAAAGCAGCTTGAAACAGGTTGATGCAGCTTAGAAGTAGGTCAAGGGCAAGTAAGAAGGAGGTCACTGTGAACAATCTAAGAAGCGCCTCAAACTGATCGCAAATGCCCATCGACACAAGCCCAAGAATTCATGTTTAGGGATCCACCAACAGACTTAGGAGGATGGGTAGATCGTGCCGCTAGTGTCAGCTATGCTCCAACTTTTAGCATCCATGGGAAACTAAACATTTCTAAAACAGGTGATAGAACCATCTCTTACAGGTCTCCCAGCTGCTTAACCTGCACCGGTCATGTTCCCAAGATGATGTAGGGTACACGGACAGAACTCTGCCTGGAGTGGGGTGGGGGCCTGCTGACCCTTGACTCCATTGTGTGCTTGCCAAACTTTTGGAGCACTGTCTTCACTCATACTCCCTGAAGTGAATGCTTTTCCTTTGTTTTCAGGCCAACCGGTTCCTCAGGCCTCTTCAAACCTGCAGAACAGGAGCTACAGCCCTTCAGTCACACAGCAACAAACATCACAGCACTCTTGGTGTCCACATACATACAGTATGTGCTTCCTCTTGGAACACCCCACTTCCCTTTCCATTTTTACATCTGACCTTAATCTCAGCTTTTAGACAGAATAGGTGTCTCCATTGGAAGTTTTGCCCTCGATTTTTTTTTCAGTGACAAGTGTAACAATTTTGATTTTCCTTCACTTTTTCTCCCAGTGATAATGGTAACCAGGACAAATAAAGAAGGTGAATTCCCCTACATAGACACAGACAGCCTGACACAGTTTAAGGGGGTTCCCAGCACTTTTTCAAGCTAACCCAGCAAAAAATCTAACTAATCTGCTTGAACTACTCAGATTTTTGTTGCATATATTTGCAAATATATGCGAAAGCCACACTGCCGTGCCAAGGCACTTTTGATAAGTGTTGTCCCTAAATCTGAAATGAGGTCCCTAGCTATGGCGCTTATATAGCAATGCACAAACCGAGAGTAGGCTCACCTACTTAAAGCTCAGACTTCTTTATAGATACAATCACACACTAGAAGCCCAAACATCACCTTTACAAGCCAGCTGAAGACTTCCAGTATGTGTCTGCACCAAACCCAAATAAGCAACAATGGCAGCTGCTTTTGTTTGATTAAAAGTAGCATAAAGGTGCACATTGACAGGACATTATAAAAAAAACAGTAGAAATGGTGCCTCAGCACACAGCTTTCAACTACTCAGGGTAAAAAGAGGATTTTGTTGCATACATTTGCAAATACACGTTGAAGCCACATTACCACATCAAGGCACCTCCAAAGGGCGGTCCCTTACTCTAAATCATCTGAGCTCCCAGCTTTGATACATTCATAGTGTTAGGGTCCCTCAGAAAAGCCACTCTGAGGGAATGTGAACCCTTAGGGGGACTTGAACCCCTAGTGGGACTTGAACCCAAGACGCCTGGTAGGACTGGAACCCACCACCTCTGGTAGGACTTAGTTTATTAAGGTTTCCCAGGTTTCGGTCCTGCTGCCAGCTTCAAGCAAGTAATTGGGAATACAGAAGCACACGAGACGGGTATCCGCTCTTTAGTCAAAGGTTTATTGTTCCAACAAAAGGTTATATGGTCAGCGAAAAACGCAATGGCGGGGCATGTAAACCAATAAAAAGTCATGCACGTATACAATTATAATAATATGGACCATAGAACAGCTACCGAAGAAATTAAGAGGACAGTTTCAAGCTTGTGGGTTTCACACAAAGAGATAAGAAAAAAAATACAATTTACTTGAGGAATGCAGACCTATCATTTTGTAAGCTGCTCACAACTAGTTTCTGTAGAATACACTTAGAAAACACAATTATCTCCGGCTCAAACATTAACTATGTATATACTAGAAGCAGGCCAATAAGTTACCCACCCTTTCACATATCAATGCAAAAACTGAGAGTCAGCGGACCTGGAGGCAGCACTGGAGGTTTTAGTTGCATATATTTGTAACTGTATGCAACTAAAACCTCTGATTTTAACCTGAGTAGTTGAAGCAGGTTAGGTATTTATTTTCACTGGCTAGCTTGAAAGTGTGCTGGGGACCCCCTTTGTACTGTTTTGTATATGCCGCTGCCCATGTGCTGCTTTACCTTTTTGCTAGTTGGAACAGACCAGGGTGGCTGCCATTCATACTTCTAACACTTCCACATGCCATACAAGATTTTAAAAAAAGTTCAGGCTTTAGATATGCTTTGACTCTAGCCAATGCATTTTTATGGAGGTGGTGTTAGTGGTGGTTGTGGTGGTGGTGCGTTAGAACCTCTGTGTCTCTGCTGGAGAAATTTCCAATTCAGGACAGGAATTGATGGCAAATATCTCCAACATTGACAAGGTGGGAAAGTGTTGGAGCTTCTGTTAAAGTACAATGAAACTCTCGTTTTTTGTTTTTGCATATATCTTACTGGTAGCATGCAGTATATATATATGCAAAAACATTAAAAAAATAAAAAAGTTACCAAATAGGTAATTACTTACCTGTGTCTCCGCTGCTCGCTCCCGTCCGAAGATCTGATGATTGTCGAGCGGCTGTGAAGGATGATGGGGTGGGCGCATACGCAGTAGCGATCTTTGGCCGGGAGACGAGGAGAGACACAGTGTTAGTCAATGCGCGTGCACGTGCACAGAAACCGCGGGACACAGAAGACACAGCAGTCGTAGCTGGATTAGAGACCGGTGTTCTATCGAAACTCCAACTCGTCGAAATCTCCAACTACCTCACTGCCGTGTACTTGCAAGTTGGTGATTTCTACCAGACTGCGTTAGACTGCAAAACACAAAGACTGACAGAGCTTCTGTACAGCTGCATGTTAACAATATTCAGCAGGTGGCAAAGTCAACGAGTATTCTGAAAGCGCTATGCACGCATGCGCACCACAACTATACAGAGCTCCAGTCGTTCTGAGCACCGCAAGTGAGGTAGTTGGAGATTTCGATGAGTTGGAGATTTCCATAGAACACCGGCACCAGCGCTGGAGGGACTCCTGAAAGCTACTGGAAAGAAGAAGATGATCGGATCAAGAGGCATAATTTACGGTAAATCCTTAAAGCAGCATTGGGGGAGGGAAATTGTGACATTAATGTCACTTTATGGTTTTTATTGCTGTCTGTGCCTTGTGAGTGAGGTCATCCCCTCTCATAGCTTCTGAAGGTATCACAGGGACAGGAAGTGAGGGAAAATCTTCACAATGGGGTCACAGTCAGAAGTAAAATCCTGATAAAAATGTTTAATTCCTCCTGACTCCGCCCACATCTAAACCAGACGCTGGCTGGAGTAAGGATTAAATGGAAGCATGTGCAGACAGTATGAGTGGCAATTGCCGGCCTCTGCTTTGGAAAAATGCTTTTTCCGTGGCTCTCATGGTTTTAATCCCTTCAAATCCACTGACTTGGACTCAGTCAGCCAAGTTGAGTTTCGGACCCATTGCTGCAAGATCACAGTGGTAACTTTCAAGCTGCGTTTTATTCTCTCTGTATCTTAAGCCTGCCAATACACAATCAGACCACAGAGTTGATTGAAAATGCAGCATGCTTCTCGCTTGTATATGAATATTTTCCCCCATAAATGACAGCAGGTGACAGGCGTCTTATGCGGCGGTACGTCACACACTGACAGACTAATCAAGCGGAATGGACGAGGGTAGCCCGGTGCCGGCATAAACCAGACCGGCATATTAGCAGACCAGTAACTTGCTGGTTGAGACAGGAATGTTCAGA